CTCGAGGTGAGGCCTCACCAGTGCCCAGTACAGGGGGACCATCACCTCTGGGGCCCTACTCCCCACGCTGTTCCTGACACAGGCCAGGATGCTGGTGGCCTTCTTGGCCACCTGGGCACACTGCTGGCTCCTGTTCAGCCTTGAATATCTCCAGGGATGGGGCCTCAACCACCTCCCTGACACGCTCCCTGTGCCCATCCCCTCTCTCTCTCTCCTGCAGGTCCCCAACTATCTCCCCTCCATCAGCGCCGCCATCGGGGGCGAGACCCCCCAGCGCTACGTCTGGCGCCTCTGCATCGGCCTCCACTCGGCTCCTCGCTTCCTGGTGGCCATCGCCTACTGGAACCACTACCAGAGCTGCCACTGCTCCCACCCCCGCTACCTGCGCTTGTGTCACTTCAACCTGCTCCTCAACCTGCTGGAAAACTTCGCCCTCCTCATCCTGACCTACGTGTCCTCGTCGGAAAACTATGGTAGGTGTCTTCTCCTGCCCTGCTCTCTGCTGAGCCTCGTGGTGGTGGGCTTACAGCTGCCCAAGCTTTGCAGAGCTCTGCTTCCCACCGGTGTTTCGGAAGTAGACAGTTTGGAGGAGGAAACAGTTGATAAATAAATAAATCATAGAATGGTGGAGGTTGGAAGGGACCTTTCAGACCATGGAGTCCACCCATCAACCCACCACTGACAAACCTACCACTGACCCATGTCCCTCAGCACCACCTCTGCCCGGCTCTGAAATCCCTTCAGGGATGGTGACTCCACCACTGCCCTGGGCAGCCTCTGCCAAGGCTTCACAGCCCTTTCCAGGAAGAAATTCTTCCCAGTTTCCATCCTCACCCTCCCCTGGGGCAACTTGAGGCCGTTTCCTCTTGTCCCATGGCCTGTTCCTTGGGAGAAGAGACCAACCCCCCCTGGCTACACCCTCCTTTCAGGGAGTTGGAGAGAGCCAGAAGGTCTCCCCTCAGCCTCCTTTTCTCCAGGCTGAACACCCCCAGCTCCCCAGAAATTCTCCAGATCTGACAGGGGTGTCCCCTCGGGGTTGGGGTCTCTGCCGTGGGGACATCCCAGGGGACATCCAGGGGGTCCTCAGCCCATTGTGCTGCAGTCCCAGCCCCGCAGGGCCCTGGCAGAGCTGCCCTTTTGCTTTGCTTTCATCCTGCAAATAAATCCCCCCCCTCTCCAGCAGCCTGTAAAGCAGCGGCACAGCCCGGGCAGGGGGGCTGAGCTGTGTTTTCCAGAGCTTTTTTTTGCTGCTGGGGTGTCACAGGGCTGGTGGGGACTGTCCCTGTGCCAGCACGGGGGGGGCTGATGGTGGGGGGGGGGACACAGGGGCTGCTGAGCTGCCCTAGACTCCTGCCCTCGCTGCTAACTGGATTCTGCAGGATTATCTGTGTCAAATCAGATTTGTCCCGTGGCAGGAACGGTGTGTGAGGTGTCACAGCCCCTCCTTTGGGCTGCTCGGTGGCCTTTGTCCCCAGGTCGGGGTTGGGGACGGGGACAGGAAAGGTCGAGCCCAGGTGTGGCAGGAGGAAAGCCCGAAGGAAGATGTTTGTGATGGTTGGGACTGATTTCATGTGGCTTTGACCCCGGTGGTCCCAGGGCATCCGGGCTGTGGCCAAGGGCAAGTGGGAAGGTTAAAGGGTGAATGGAGGAGGAGAGGAGCAGCCAGAGAGTGTCAGGGATGGGGCTGGTGGAGAGCCCTGAGCAGGAGACGGGCTGCCAGGCTTGAGGAACCACTTCTCCTGGGCTTGCCCAACCTGATAAGCCAGGGCTTTACTGTTGTGCAAGGCAACGGAGCTGGTGAGGGGGCTGGAAAACAAATCATCTGAGGAGCGGCTGAGGGAGTTGGGGCTGTTTAGTGTGAGGAAGAGGAGGCTGAGGGGAGACCTCATCACTCTCTACAACTTCGTGAAAGGACA